GTGAATTTCCCTTAAAAAAAACCTTTTTTTAAAAAAAAAAAAAAAAAAAAAAAAAGTGGAGGTGAGTGATATTTAAAAAGGTCATCAGGGTGGGGCCTCCATGATTGACTCCTGGTAGCTTTATAAACAGGAGAGAGGCACGGAGACACAGACCCATTTGCACTCCTTCTGTCTCACCACGTGACGCCCTGCACCACCTCTGTAGGGTCCCCACCACCAAGAACAGCCTTGCTTGATGTGGCCCTTTGACCTCAGGCCTCTAAAAACATGAGCCAAACAAGCCTATATTTTTAAATAAATTACTCAGTGTGATACTCAGCTATGAAACAACAGAGAATGGACAAAAACATCTGGTGTCATCACAGGTAGGCAAGAATGTGCCCCTAGAGGCTGGGGTGCCATTTAGGGAAATTGTGATGGGGACAAGGGTTTTGCAGAGTGTTATCCCAGATATGGTCAAGCAGTGGGGTCTCCTGGTCAGACAGGGGAAAGTGAAAGAGGGCAAGAGGGCAACTTGGGGGACCACCAGTTACTAAGGGACCTGAGAAATGGAAAGAGAAGTTGAACTTAGTTGACTTTGTGGGTAGATGTCTCAATCTTTACTTCTTTGGTTGCTTGGTCAAATACAGAGACTTTATTATTTCAAAATATTATAGCTTTTTAAAAAAGAATTACTTTATTTAACTTTATTTATTACTTATTTATTTGACCAGAGAGGGACAGAGTGAGAGAGAGAGGGAAAGTGAGAAAGCAAGCCACCAGGTCCGGGACTCAAACCGTGGCTGACCAGGTGGGAGTCCAGTGCCCTTAACTACCATGCCACCTGCTGGCCCCGAATGCATTATACCTTTAAATGTGATCGTACTGTATGGTCAAGAAAAAAAAAAATCATGAAATTCAAGAAAAGGAATAAGTGACAACAGGAATTAGACTCATTCATGTGGAAAAACTTTAAAAGAAGCACAATGTGGCCCTGTGTTATAAATGAACAAGAAAGCTACAAGAGGCAAGCGTAATAAAGATTTCACCTGACATTTGGAATTACCCTTAGTCTTTTCAGCATAAAGGGCATAACACACCACTTCTGAATTTTACTGCTAACCACAGGGAAGGCGGAGGGAGCATGGTTCTGCCAGAGCCGTGATTCTCAACCTTTTGTGGGTTATCATCAACCCTCATTGAGGAATTGAAGAAAGTTGTGGACTCCTTTTCATAAAAATGAAGACAAACATGGTTACATGCAATATTGCATACAATCCTAGGGGTTCTAGAAGGGACTTGTCTTATTAATCTTTCTACCTCTAATCCAGACATATAGTAGATGCTCAAGACATATTTATTAAATAATTAAGTAAATAAATGAGTGGGATATTACACTTAAATAATAATGGTCAAAATGCAAACATCTTCAGTAGGACTAAAGTATTAGGATCTATTAATATGAATTCATTTATTTTAGAGGTTCTCAATCTTAGTTGCACATTATTATATCCTGGAGGGGGGGATGCAGGGGCTTTAAAAATTATTGATGCTTGGGTCCCACCCTGGTCAACTGAATGAGGATCTAAGAGTGAGAGTCTGGGTATTAGTATTGTTAAAAAGCTCTTCAGATGATTTTAATGTGCAGACAGGACTGGAATCAATGCAGTGGATTAAATTTTATATCATTTAGTAGAGAGAAAGAATATGAAGGCATCTTGGGTATGTGAACTAAGTTTTCATGGAGGAAATCAGGAATCATAATAAAAATGACAATCTTCTCCAATTACAAGCTGCCATCCATACCCCAAAGATAGACTGGCAGATAAGCCAAGTAGGTGTTGCTGACACTCCTTAGACAGTTCTAACAATGCAAATGCAGATCTGAGATGAGTACAAAGTTACTTCTTAACTTTTTTGGTTTTATTTTCTTTTAATTGAAGGAGGTCATGTGCACTCCCCAGACAGACAGAGTGTGGTGGGGGGAGAGGGCGGAGAGAGCAGGAGAAAGCACCCTCCAGTGGGGTGAGGTCATGCTGTAATTCTCTTTCCTCCATTTTTCCATCCTGTCGGGATTTTAAGCATACACCTCTATATACCCAGAACATTTTTCAAGCCTTCAGAGCTAGGATTTGAAACACGGTCAATCTTATGGAACCTGGCATACTTAACTACTAGGTTATGAAGACTGGCCTCAAAATATATTGTTCCTATAATTTTGCCAAACTACCTCTTAGAGGATAAGAACAGCCTTCCCATCCCTAGAGAGCCCAACTCAGAGGTCTGGAGTGAGCTCTGGGAATCTGTCATTTTGCAAGCATGATAGTGTTTCCACTGCAAGTAGCAGCCCCACACTCTGGCTGGGATGGAGGCAGGGGAAGCAGAAGAGGTCAGTCAGAATTGCCTAGGGATAGGTTTCCAAATACATATCCATTGCAGATCTAGGGAAGCAGAGCACAGGGCTCTTGAGGGTGAATACACAGAAAATGCTTGACTCTGATACCAGTCTCACCTCTGTTGAGAACCAATATGTGGGACACTTCTTGGGAGCCCAGAGAGATTCTTCTGGGGCTACAGCTGGAGGCCAGCCCTGGGGGACTAGTCCCTGTGCAAAGACTGGCAGTTGGGGGTGGGGGGAGTGGGTGAATAGGTACTGAAAGTATGTGGGAGGATACCAAAGCCAGGTGGAGATGACAAAAACAAGATTTGCTCATTTTATGGTTTTAGCTAGGCTGGCCCTGGTGCAGAGTCATCGAAGCTGAGGCTGGAGGAACAAAAGCAGCAGTTTCCAAATCACTTCTGTTTCCCCTAATATCAGGTACATGTGTCGGTCTTGAAAGTCCCAGGTGCCCACCTCTGCTGTGAAAGCACTGAGAAAGGGTGCCCTTACTGGGCAGATGGAAATTCACAGTGGACTGTGCTGTGAAAGCACTGTGAAAGCACTGAGAAAGAGTGCCCTTACTGGGCAGATGGAAATTCACAGTGGAGGTGTCTGTGCTTAGGCATCAAAGCTTAGAGTGGCTGGCAAGTTTGTTGGAAGGATGCTCCTCTGAAAGAGGGAATAGATGACTCTCCCGGTAATCTGATAACCCACTTAATCATGTCCCTTGAAAAGAGCACATCAGTACATGTTCGCTATTATTCTTTCAACTTTTCTTTTCTCCCTTTACCCTCTTTGGACTGTAGATTTTGGGGGCTTGTTCTGATTTCTGTTGTTGCTTGTACTGATATAGATTGCCTTCAACGAGTGACTCAGGATTATGGGCCACTGTTCTTACCATTCAGTATAGATTTTAGGATCACCTGGAATGATTCTGCTGTAGCAGATTCAGAAGGAAGAAGAGATTAGAGAATCATGGTCCAAAGGCTTGGAAGAGTTTTTTTCCCATTAATTCTTGGAGGATTTATTCTGGGACACTGCAAGCCAGTAGCAAGCACTGAGAAGGAGAAAATGAGTGAGAGCAAGAGACGGGTGTGCGTGATGTGTATGTATGTATATGTGATGTTTTGTAACTATTCCCTCTCTGCATCTTGGCAGAGTTTCTTCTAAACAGATTATCCAGCCCAAATCTCCAATGTGGCATGTTTGCTCCTGCCCCTCTGGATGTAAAAGGTAGGGGGAAAGGCAGAGCAAATTTTATTTGCTCTATCATATACATGAACTTTATATCAATACTATGGTTTGCACCTGTGAAAATGTAATCTTTCATGTGTGACATGCTCCAATAATTTTTAACACTACTTTACACCATTTAAACTTGACCCAAGTCCACTGGCCAACTTCTCACCTGGACTGCCCAATGGAGAGCTGTTTTAAAGTCTTTATCCACAAGGGTGGGATCTGCCCCCTTCTTCAACAGCATTTGGGTGTGTTGAGGCTGGTTGTGGAAAGCCGCCCAGTGGAGTGGTGTCATTCCCTACAAAACAACCATGAGAGGGGCAGAGATGAGAACAGACTATCAGGAATTTCATACTGGAACTCACATTTTTCCCCCCTGGACCTGGAGGCCATCACCAGATATATTAGATGCTGTCTATTAGTCCATCATTCCTTGATCCGTTCATTCAACAGATGTTTATTGAGCTGCTACCTTTTGCCAGACAAATAGGTATTGAGGATTGCTATGATTTGAATGTGTCCTCTAAAGTTTTATTGTTAGAAACTTAATCCCCAAAGCAACAGTGTTGAGCAGTAGGACCTTTAAGAGGTGATTAGGTCATGAAAATTCTGCTTTCATGAAGGGGTCCCTGATAACAAAAGGTTGAACTTGAGTCCTTTCCTTCTTTTTTTTGGAGAGGTTTTTGCTATAGGGCACGTTTGCTCGCCAGACAGACAGAGAGAGACAGATAGAGACAGAAAGCAAGAAGTCACCCCCCAGGGGGGATGGCCACACCGCAATCCCTTCTCCTCCATTCTCTTCTTGGGATCTTGGGCACACACGCACATGCACCTGGTGTGAGTTTTAAGCCACCGGGTCTGGGACGCAAACCATGGTCAACTATGTGGGAGTCCAGCGACATAGCCATTACGCTAACTGCTGGTCCCGAGTCCTTTCCTTCTTTCACAAGGCTGCTTTCTCATCCATCTGCCCTCTACCATGGAATAATGTAGCACATGAGCCCTCAGCAGAGGCAGGCCCTGACCTTGGACTTCCCAGCATCTAGAACTGTAAGAAATAAATTTATTTTCTTAATATTATCCAGTCTGTGGTATTCTGTTATAGCAGCATGTAAGGTAAGGATGCAAAGGTGAATCCTTAACCTCATAGAAATGGCATTGTGGTGGAGACAGAGTATATTCAAGGAAGACTCTTGTGACTAGAGTCACACTAGAATGCAATCCCCACTACAGGTCTATATATCCAGTGCCTAGAACAGCTATTGAATGAATATATAAATGAGTTAGGAGAGAAGAGTGATGTGAGGTTAGGTTGCAAAGGGAGGGAGGGGCAGATTTTGAGAGGGTGGGCTGAGGGGTACCTAAATAAGGCATTTGGATTGCATTCTAAACTCAATAGAAAGATAGGGAAGAATTTTAGGCAGGTGTTGGCCTGATCATATTCACATGTAGCTCTGCCTGCTTCATTTCCTCTCCTTATAAACAACCAAAACTCGGTCATGGGGTCCCCACCCTAATGACCTTATCACACCCAAATGCCCCACCCTAGGAAGGCATAAAAAGGATTCACTTAACATTTTTGTAATACAAACAAATCCAAATACATCAGTTTTGGGGAGACATTCAATCACCATCCATTAAATCGATTTCCAAAACATGAACTTTGGGGCTGGCAAACTGATATCCAAACCATAACAAACATGGACATAAGGGATAGAAGTTCCCTCCAGGCCTGGCCTTGACAACAAAACCATGTGGTCCTCCACACGTTTTCTTTTTCTTTATTCTACACCTGAAGGCAGAGGAGAACAAGCAACAGTCTAGAAGATTCTGGAGCTGAGTGACTGAAAAGCTTGTATCCCTGTTTGATGAAGGAACATAGAGTCATCTCACCACCAGCTCTGGTCTATGATGTGAAGAAGAAAGAAACTTTTATTGTGTAAGGCCATAGACATGTTGAACTGTATGCTAGCAGTTAGCCAATTCTTTTTTTTTTTTAAAGAATTATTTTATTTAACTTTATTTATTATTATTATCACTATTATTTTCCAGTTTGGTCAGAGAGAGACAGAGAAAGAGAGAGGAAGTGAGAAAGCAAGTCACCAGGTCCGAGACTTGAACCGTGGTCAGCCATGTGGGAGTCCAGCGCCTTTAACCACCATGCCACTTGCCGGTCCAGCAGTTAGCCAATTCTGACAGGTGCGATTGTCCTTCTCATTTCAGAGAAGAGGAAACTGAGCTCTGGAGAAGTTCCTTAGTCTGTGTGAGTTAGTATGAAACTGAATCTAGGGTTTGAGGTTTGTGGGGCACTAGGATTAGAATGTTCAATCCCCTCAATTAGTTCCATATTTTAAATCCTTAAATTATAGTCTACTTTCAGGTTTCAGATTTCAAGTGTCATTTAATAGTGAGCCTCCAGAGATACTCATTAAAAAAAAATTGGTTTCATATGGAAAAGAATGCTGGTCTAAGAGCAGTGGAATTTCTTGTTCTTATTCGAATAGCTCAATACCTGGAATTCAGAATCACTCAGTGCATTTAGTGGGTCCTCTTCATTTTTAATTGGGCCCATTTGGATTAGAAATTTGAATGTAAGAGAATCTGATTCTTTTTATTATGCAGGGATTACTCTTTCTCAGTTCTGAGTTTCATTTGCTTCAGAATCTTGACCTTATCAAGAAGTGCTGATAGCATTCAGTGTTATAGACATTGAATCAATTCTCAAGTCACTGGAATGTAAGATTCATGAAGGCAGGGCTCTTGTCTGCCTGTCTGAATCCTTAAGAGCCTAGAATAGTGCCAGGCATATTGTAGATGCTAAGTAAATATTGATTTTATGAAAATAAGTGATTCCTTACAGCTCTTGATTGAATTTCTGCTTTTATAAAATCTGGTTTAGCTTTTTAAAGTCATACATATAAAAAGGAAAGGCAAACATGCCTTCCTTTATAGAAACAAACTTATGGGAATGATATGATCATTGCTACCAAATCATCAACTAAAACATGTAAGAATTTTTTTTTTCCTTTATAAGAGAGAGAGAGGAAGAGAGACAGAAATAGGTAATTTTTACTGGATCTCACGGTGCCACAATCCTCCTGCCCCAGCCCCTCAATTAGAGAGGATTACAGGCACATTAACCATAACCAACAGGCATGTTCAGGTTGGCATGGGAACCAAACCTGAGCCTCCCAGGCAGCTTCCAGTCTCCCAAGTGGTGGTGCTGCCTGCAAGACACCACACCTGGGCCAACTTGTGATAATTTTTGAAGAGTGCTCCTAATGATGTTGTCCTTTGTACTTCTGCCAAAGATGAGGCAGATGGCATTGGATATGTAAAGACAGGATTTAGCACCATGAGCATTCAGTGTGAAATGTGGTTATGAGTTAAACTGTGGTTAGATAATGTTAATTTTTATTTCTTAAGCACAGTTGCTAGTTTTCAAAAGTTATTCTCTTAAAATAATAACAATGAAACCCTCTTAAAACCCAAATCTTGCATTTTTTTTTTGGTAAAAGAGGAATGGGAGGAGCACTACCATTTTTTGTACACTTACTTGGTGCCAACAGTTTTATATGTTATCTCACTGAATCTTTACAATGATGCTAAGGTGTAGTTATTTTTAGTCCCATTTTACAAGTAAGGAAACTGAAACACAGATAAGTTAAGTCACTTGCCCCAGGCAAACACTTGGTATAACTGAGATTTAAATCCAGATTTTTTGACTGAAGAAAAAACTTGGTGGAGTTTCATTTTGGAAATGAGAAATGCTGAAAATTTTATCCTATGTTATGTTATCTGTATTCAAGGTCTTCTAACATTCTAGAATAGTGGGGTTTTTTTTCTTCTTCTTTTTTTTTTTTACTAGTTTAAGGGTAGTCACCCTATAATATTCTCTGTTTCATTTGGCATTTGGCATTACTTCTAGGCTCCTTCTAAAAATGTTGCTGGCAAATGTTGATTTTTGTAAGATAGTGGAATGTGTATCTGTATCTTTAGCCCTATCTATTTATCCATCCCCATTCTCCCTCCAATCCACTCCCATCCTGGAATTTGGGAGTACTTTTAGAAATAAATGGCCCCAAGTCAAGACTGAATTACTCCAATACTTCTTTTAATGCTTTTACAATATAAATGGGTTGTGAACATTCAGTGAACTCAAGGGAAAGTTTTTTTTTTTTTACAGTTAATAATATGAAAATTGACACTTTCAAAATCATATCAGAGACAGCATTTGTTATTGTACAACA